AGAGCAGGAAGCGTTCCTGAAATAGAAAAAGCTCCTCTGAGAGTCGATTTGTTTGCGAGTTCATGAGGAGTTTAGCATGAGAGAGAATGTCAGCGGATCTCCCAACAAGTCGCACAAATGGGAGGTTGTGTTCCCGGCACCTCAGAGTTCAGCTCCAGTTCTTCAACGCTCCTCTTCCTCCGGCAGTCGAGGAGGATTAGTCTGACACCTCCTGCTCTCAGCCTTTCACAGAGAGAGAGGAGGCGCTCCATGTTCTGCTGACGCTCAGCATCCCGTACAGAAAAATCCATGAGAATTCCCCCGTGACCCGGTGAGAGGAAGAGTGTGTGTGCTTTAAAAGGTCTTTGTTGGAGGAGGGAGTGTGTGAAATGGTAACAACATCTCAGTCAGGAGGCCTTATATCAGGGGTGTTCAAACGTTTTTCACCGAGGGCCACATACAGAAACATATACAACCCGGTATCAGAGCAAGACGTGAACATGTGACGATTCACCACGCTGGGAGACGTGAAGATGTTACGATTTCGTCCCTTCAGTCGTGACAGTTACACGGTATTGTTAACATGGCCCACCAGTGCAGAAATACCCGGCGTGAAAACAGTACTTCTCGTGTTATGGAGGTATTCCCTATCTTTATTCATTCGTGTTCTTTCAATTTGAGAGCATCATTTATTGATTTCACGTTCAGATGTTGTATTTCTTTCACTCAAATCGTGCCTGCTTGCGCTTAGATTTGCTTCTGCTCAGACTGTACGCTTGCACTCAGATATATTGCTGCTTGCACAGATTTCCATTTCAAAATCCCTCAACCAATAGGAGGCCAAGTGCCAGCAAGGAGACAACACTTCACCTGGCCTCCTATTGGTTGAGGGATTTTGAAATGGTTGTTCCACAGAAAAAATCCAAGAATGAGCAGAAATCTGAGAGCAGACATTTGCGGAGCGCAGTCAGCGCACAGAAGCAGCCTGAGTGCGAGGAGGAGGGTTTAAACTGGAAAACAGGAAATCTGTGCAAGCAGCAATATATCTGAGTGCAAGCGTACAGTCTGAGCAGAAGCAAATCTAAGCGCAAGCAGGCACTATTTGAGTGAAAGAAATACAAAATCTGAACGTGAAATCAATAAATGATGCTCTCAAATTGAAAGAACACGCTCTTGAATAAAGATAGGGAATACCTCCATAACACGGGAAGTACTGTTTTCACGCCGGGTATTTCTGCACTGGTGGGCCATTTTAACAATACCGTGTAACTGTCACGTTTGAAGGGACGAAATTGTAACATCTTCACGTCTCCCAGCGTGGTGAATCGTCACATCTTCACGTCTTGCCGTGATAGCCGGGTTGAAAATATAGGAAGTTCTGGGCCGCTCACTCGAGGTTTATCGCCTCATAAGTTCAGTTATAAGTTAGCCAAGACAATCAAATGTAGGTAAATTAAGCTTGATACTTGAAAATGCTGTAACGGCCCGTCCACACAGCGGCGTGCGTTGAAGCTTGCTCCATTCACTTGAATGGGGTGACGTCACGCTTCGCCGAACTGCATTGTGCGGAGCGTAGCTACGCGTTGCTCGCTGCAAAAGTTGAGCCATGTTCAACTTTTGAAGCTTCAGAAGCTTCGGTGGAAGCGTCAGCCAATCAAACCGCGTGTATGCTGGGAGAGACACATTTCCTCATATTCCAAAAAATGGAGCAAGCTTCAACGCACGCCGCTGTGTGGACGGGCCGTAAGAAACACAACAGCCTTCATCACAGCTCTAAATAATGTTTCATTTATTGAGTTTGCAGCTCATGACTTAAAACAGAAACTTCAGATTGCTTATAAAAATATTTTCTATGCAAATAAGTGATTGGTTGATTGATGAATACTGTGATATATATGTGTACATATACATTTAATAAGTACAATATATGACAAGCACAAGTTTAATCTATGGGCCATATTTCATTATCGATTTTAATTAGCTGAGTCTGTTTTCGTCTCGTTTGCACAGAATTGATGCTAAGCTAGCTAGCGCCAATATTTCATTTTCCAAACCAGTAATGAACAGACTGAAGACAACATGTTTTTAGTCATCGTAATAAACTGGTTATTGTCGGTTCTTCAGATGTTCTGTACAGTAATCCTCTAAGGTTTGAAGAATACATGCTTTTTGGACGCTTTAGATTACATTTAATTACATGTCACTTGTTAGACGCTTTTATCCAAAGCGACTTACATACTCAATACTGTGGCCAATCCCCACAGGAGCAATTTGGGGTGAAGTGTCTCAGGGACACAACGACATGCTGACTGCAGTGGGGTTTGAACCTGTGCTGCCCTGATCCCAACACCAACGGACAACCCACTGCACCACACGCCTCCCCTTTAAATGACAATGTCAATGCAAACATATTAAAAATAGATTGAAGTAAACGGTTATTTTGTGTTTTTTTGTAATTATTCAGTGTTCTTGTATTTGAATGTGTTATTTTATACCTCGGGACTGAGGGAAACAGTATTTCGATAGTTCTGTGTGTACAAACATATTTTGAGATTGACAATAAAGTTGACTTTGACTTTGACTTTTGAAAACATGAAATTCATTTAGTTTTTTGCTTTAGATTTTTCACTCAAGCCTCAAGGACTCTATGGGAGTAATGCCTCTTTATCTTGTGGTGTTTCCTCGCTGGTTTTGTTCGGCTGAGTCGATCCTGTAGCTGTGAGAGGAAGAGTGTGTGCTTTAAAAAGGTCTTTGTTCGAGGAGTGTGTGAAATGGTTTCTCAGTCAGGAGGAAAAGCATTATGTGCTTCGAGGAACCCTCTCTCTCTGAGAGTCCGTTTTAGTCGGGTTTGCAAATAATTGATGCTAAGCTAGCGCCAATATTTCATTTTCTACAACTGAAGAGAAAGGACATTGCTTGACATCATTTTGACAGAGTTTGGTTTCAGAATCAAATTGAGTTGAGCTGTTGCCAAGAGCCTTTGTTGCAGTTTTACAAACAAATGGTAGCAGTTTGGTGGGTTGTGCTTTAGTCCAACGTCAGGAACCCTCTTGGATCTTGTCCATGTGAGTTTGGTTTCAGAATCAAATTGAATTGAGCTGTTTCCAAGAGCCTTTGCGGTAGTTAAACAACAACTTGTAGCATATAGAGTGGTGCAGGAATGAGTCCTAAAACCTGGAAATGAGTCAGCATTTGAACACTTCCGTTTCCCTCGTCTTGAAGTCAAACAATGTTTAACGTGTATTTGGTTGTTGAAATAAGGTCTGTTAACACAAGCTGAGGAGATGTTTTGTTCTACGACATGAAGCAAGAGACTTTAAGGGTGGGACCAGATGGATATTTTCTCTTTGATAGATAATGTTTCTAGAAGCTGTGTTCGGGGTGCAGAACTTCTCTCTCCTCTGAGGATGAAGCTGCTCTGCTCCTGCATTTGACATCGATCTCATTTGTATATTGACTTTCTTTATTACTGTATTAAATATAACAAAAGACAAACTTTGTCCATTTATCAGTTTCTCTTTCCTCCACATTCCTCTTCACTCTGTGTCCGCCACGTTCCTGTTTGCCCTCCCGTTAACTCACGTGGAAACAAGTGAGGGAGCGTTTTAGAGTCGGTGTTAAAATGAACCGGCGTAATGAGGAAATAAGTGACTTATTTGCGGCGAGGCGATTTCCTTCATTAACGCGGATATTTATGAGCAGCGGCGGCTTTATGGAGCGTAGATTGTCACCTTGTTCCAATTATCTGCTACCTGTGAAAGAGCTGAGTGTTCAGACGCCGGAGGAAAGACATCAGTAGTTGTTGAGTGAGAGGAGCACTGGAAAAACAAGGTGTTTTCTCTTTTAATAAGTGAACAAACCTGCCAATAGAACAAGTACAAACTGGCTTGGTGAGATTTATTGAAGTAAATTATAATTAGATAAATGAGATCTTGTGCTTATCTGGGAAAACTTATGTTGAACTATATTTGACGAGAATCAGGGAATTTGTAACAAAAAAAGCCCGAAATGCTCAGATTCTGTTTCCTGATGTTAGCTGGAGATGTTCCTCTGACTGAAGATGTAACAAGACTTAAAGGGGACCTATCATGCAAAATGCACTTGTGTACGTCTTGTCTACATGAATATGTGTCCCCGGTGTTCCAGGGAACTCACCAAGTGTCAGAAAACACAACCCTCTCTATTTTCCTCCATACCCAAATCTCTAAAAAAGGGGCTGCAACGGATCTGATAAAAACTGATCCAGATTTGAACACTGTCCTGACGTCAGGACGGTGGCGCTACGGCTATTGGGCCAACTCCACCAATCAGGAGGAGACAGCCACGGCCATTGCCGTTCTAAAGCGCTGGAGACGCTGTAGTACATATGCCAGGCCTGTAGATGGTGCTGTTCTCACTGAATCTGCCCTTGCACAAACAGAGCTAACATTTTTCAAATTGAGCAAAATGAGGCATGGCTAAAATGCATGATCTGTTTGGTATTTTGAAAAAAAAAAAGGGTAGGAAGGAAGGTAGGTAGGAGGGTAGGTAGGAAGGTAGGTACTTTATTTATCTCACATCGGGAAATTGTCACAGCAGCGTTTTGCCTGTAACGTTTCTCAGTAGAAAATACATTTCCAGAACAGTATATCTACACACATATATACATAATACTTTAGAATACACCCTTATATACCAATCTACTAAACATGGTGTACAGAATCATATAAGTACATCAGGTTTCATAGAGCCAACACATTTCAAGTGCTACTCAACTAGCTTTAGATAAGCCAGTCCTTTGTTAGTAATTCTATCGCTCGTAGTGGAGTCGAAAGAGATGAGTTTTCAGTCTGCGCTGGAAGATGTGTAAGCTTTCTGCTGTCCTGATGTCAATGGGGAGCTCATTCCACATAAGAGGTGACCTTTAAATACACTGAGGTATTTCGGCTGCAAGTGGATGTATGTTCAGTATGTGAACAAGGGTTTTTGGCCTTTTTCCTGCAGCTCTTCTAAATAACTATCTTTGATGTGTTGTCCCTCAGCGGCGCGGGGCGATGCCCAGCCGGACGCCGCTCCCTCGGGGCTGGGAACGCTGCCGCACTTCCTCCAGGAGCCGGAGGACGGCTACATCGTGAAGAACAACCCTGTGAAGCTGCGCTGCCGAGCCGTGCCCGCCCTGCAGATCTTCTTCAAATGCAACGGGGAGTGGGTCCACCAGAACGAGCACGCCTCGCAGGAGCACAAGGACCTGAACACCGGTGAGGAAACGCTCCAAAGAGGCGGGAAGTAGTGGAGTACAAATACTTTGTTACTGTACTTAAGTACATTTTTCTGGTATCAGTACTTTACTCCACTACTTACTTTTCTGATGACTTTTTACTTTTACTTGTTACAGTTTGAACACAAATACCTGTACTTTCTACTTCTTACATGTTGAACACAAATACCTGTACTTTCTACTTCTTACATGTTGAACTCAAATACCTGTACTTTCTACTTCTTACATGTTGAACACAAATACCTGTACTTTCTACTTCTCACATGTTGAACTCAAATACCTGTACTTTCTACTTCTCACATGTTGAACACAAATACCTGTACTTTCTACTTCTTACATGTTGAACACAAATACCTGTACTTTCTACTTCTTACATGTTGAACCCAAATACCTGTACTTTCTACTTCTTACATGTTGAACACAAATACCTGTACTTTCTACTTCTTACATGTTGAACCCAAATACCTGTACTTTCTACTTCTCACATTTTCCAAACAGGCTGGTTCCTTTAGTTTGAATGTGTGTTTGGTGGCGTGATCATTATTATTTAGAGTCATTGCGTGCCTATTGATTTGAACACGATCCGTGTATCCATCATTTCCTGGTCTTCTCTAAAGAAGAGGGACCAATGAAAACGTTGTCATGTTGCCGTTGTTCAGCATGGAAACATTCATTAGCTAACAATGACATTATTGTTCTATTAATATAAAGGGAGGTCAGGTACTCTTTAAAACAGCTGCTAGTTATGGGTACTTTTTACTGAAGTACATTTCAAAGCCCTCTTTACTTTGACTTGAGTAAAGAAGTTTACTCAGTACTTCTACTTTCACCAGAGTATTTTTAAACACGAGTATCTGTACTTCTACTTGAGTAAAGGACGTGTGTACTTTGCCATCTCTGACGCTCTCTCTCTCTATATATATGTAACCAGGTAAAAGCCTCATTGAGATTAAAATCTCTTTTCCAGAGCGACCTGGCCAAGAGGGCAGCATGAACAAAGTTACAACAAATGAACACAAAACAATACAGGCAGACGACTACAGCTGTAAAACACAAATGAAATGTCACATTAACCAGTCAATATGCAAATAAAAGAAACTATTATAAAACATAAAAAACTGGCAACATTTTAAAACGACTTCAAGCTCTTTGGACTTCTCTCAGCTGATGCTATGTAGTAAGCTAACGTAGAGTCTTCTGTCCGTTAGCTTACACGTTTCAAGATTCAAGGGTTTATTGTCATGTGTACATGAGCTACAGTTTAGATATTTCAATGAAAAACTGAAGTCCTCCTCCAACAGAGCAACATGAATATATATAGGACATAAAACAGATACAATAGTGCAAGAGAATGTTTTGATATGTGCAAGTAAATACAAATAAAATAGAGTAGAATTGAAATAGTGCAAGAAGAGTCTACAAGTAAATAGAATATGATATATCAGATGAATAATTAGCAAACAGATGAATGTTTATGGATGTTCTTTAAAAAGTTCAGGTGTTTAATAGTCTTATGGCCCGTGGGATAAGGCTTTAACCTGTTACGCACGGCCCCCCCGGTACCGGGCGGATAAACGCGTCATTTGCAGGAAACAACGTCTAAGGAATCTCAATATTTAATAAACTATGAATGTTTTATATCCATGTAACGGGAAGAAACTCAGCTAACTGATCTTTTTAAAAAAAAAATCCAAAAAAAACCTACAATGCTAGCACTCAGCCTCTGAATTAGCCACGAGCGAAAAAATGTAACCTATCACTGCACCTAAACTCACTCATAACTCCCTTATTACTTATCCTAGATGCACAGCCAACCACTCGATTAGCATCTCCTGGAGACACTGAATCTAGTGGTGCCCTCCTCAACACTCAGTGATAAACATTTGCGACGCTATAAACGAAAGCGTACATCAGAACATGTGGAGCTAGGTAGCTAGAAACGCTAACATGGCTTACCTTGGTCAAAACTGGTCTTCAATGGCATTAAAACGATAAAAAAACGATGCTGCAGTTAATCCATAGGTTAATCCAATGTATCTGTGTCCTCTTTGAAATGATTTCTGATAATCCATAAGCAATAAAACTGCTTTTTCGTTTCCAAATGTCAGAGCTAGAGATAGGTCCACTCTGCTGCAAATTTACATGCGCGCAGCCCCCACCTTTTCTCTTCACAATGTGTGTGTGTGGGGGCCCCCCTCCTTTGATTCTATTGGCTCTAACGGTCAGAAAGAGGTGTCAACCATCAAAATCGAGCAAGGGGGGCCAGAGATATGGAAAAAAAAAACATTTTCACCCAAATCACCTCAGAGGTGGGGTGGTTTTGGCTAAACCTCTCTAAAAAGGTCAAATGTCACTTGTTTTGCATCAATCTTGATACAGGGTACTTATTATATGTTGTACTTTGGATTCCTAAAGCTTTTAGTCTACTAACCCATCATCCAAGGGTAGTTTTCACTATAAGTAAAAAATAATTTTTGGACGGACACTATAATTTACAGTTTTTTACTATGTAAAATCTGAATTTTCTTTAAAATAAAAAACATCTATATTGATTCTGACACTTCTACATCCAACTCACAGATGTAACCTTGCTTTGATAAAAGAAATTATTCATATAACCCTTTTAGAAGTTAAGTTATAGTCATTTGTTTTGGGCATGTCATTTTCGAGCCTGAAACATGAAAAACAGGCTTGGTGCTTAACAGGTTAAGTGAAGCTAAAGCTCTGAATCTAGTTGGGCTGACAGGAAATGGATCTGCAGGATTCTTGCTTTTGAGTTTGTTTCCTCATGTTTGAATGCACCTGCTTTCAATGTCTATTAACACCTGCTTCCAGCAACAACAGGTGAGAGGAGAAGTTAAATGACATTTGTTTATTTGTCCAATTCTGACTTAAAGCGTCTGAAAAACGTCTACTTATTTGGCAAAATTCAGATTTTTCCCTCAGATTTTTTTCCTCAAAATTATGACTTTTTTCTCTAAATCTGAAGAATCAGTTTTTCTCAGAAAATCTGAGAATTATGACTTTTTTCCAAAAAATCCAAAAATTCGGACTTTCTCAAAATACTGACGTTTCCCTCCAAATTCAGCTTTTTCTGAAAATCACAAAAAATTAGGTTTCTACTTGCTTACAAATAACTGAATATACCCGTATTCACCCTCGCTCTGAAACGCTCCTAACAGACTAACTGCATCAGAGACAGTCAAATACTAATATGAATCAGACAATGAGCATCATAAACAAAACAACCCTAAATACTTAAAAATAAACAGATAGTAATACAGTATTTGAGAACTGGCGCCTAACATTAAAGACTCTTTTATCTTTTCTGATCTTTATTTAGTTCTTTAATTAATAAAACCCAATGCAAATAATGAGAAAAAGTGTTTTGCAGTTACTAACTATACCTTCCTCACCTGTAGAAACAGTTTCCTCTCGTCTTCCTGTGAGGAGGTATTATTGTCTTCGCTGTTAACGTCTGCTTCCACCAACAAATAGGTGAGAAGAGAAGTGAAATGACATTTTCAGAAAGAATGCGTCATTAAGTCTGTCTGGAAATAGTTTTTCCTCTCACTGAAAACAGTAGAAATATCGTTTCTGCCGTGGACACATCGGTAAGACTGTGAATGTGGTCTCAGATATTTAATCCTAAAAGCCAACAGGCCTCATAGCCAGGTCAAGCAAAATGTGCAGAATGTGCTTATTATAAGCTGCTTGCATTGACAGTGGGGGGGATTCTGCACATCAGCACTAACTCTCAGAAATATACACGACTGATTTTAAAGAGCTTCTCTATTATGATCTGAAACACGACACAAAATGGTCCTCAGACTGCAGGTTTATTACACATTTAATATAATTCAGCCCTTCATTTAGAGATAGTTCATTACCAGTAAGGAGTTGTTAAGGGTCTTCTCGCCTTAAAGAGGTTATTCTCTTAATTTGAATCAGTGTAGGTGGAGAGTCTCATTTAACCTTGGGGGGTTATTTAATATCAAACAAACATTTATGAAATGTACACGTTAAGTTCAGCAGGATAATCTCCACATATTAACACCACTTTATGATTTCTGAAGTTAAAAGCTAATGTTGGGCTATAAAGGAACTACAGCACGGTCACATGACTTCACGTCACCACCGCTAAGCTAAAGGAGGCTAATGTTGGGCTATAAAGGAACTACAGCACGGTCACATGACTTCACGTCACCACCGCTAAGCTAAAGGTGGCTAATGTTGGGCTATAAAGGAACTACAGCACGGTCACATGACTTCACGTCACCACCGCTAAGCTAAAGGCGGCTAATGTTGGGCTATTAAGGAACTACAGCACGGTCACATGACTTCACGTCACCACCGCTAAGCTAAAGGTGGCTAATGTTGAGCTATAAAGGAACTACAGCACGGTCACATGACTTCACGTCACCACCGCTAAGCTAAAGGTGGCTAATGTTGAGCTATAAAGGAACTACAGCACGGTCACATGACTTCACGTCACCACCGCTAAGCTAAAGGCGGCTAATGTTGGGCTATAAAGGAACTACAGCACGGTCACATGACTTCACCTCACCACCGCTAAGCTAAAGGTGGCTAATGTTGGGCTATAAAAAAACTACAGCACGGTCACATGACTTCACGTCACCACCGCTAAGCTAAAGGAGGCTAATGTTGGGCTATAAAGGAACTACAGCACGGTCACATGACTTCACGTCACCACCGCTAAGCTAAAGGCGGCTAATGTTGGGCTATAAAGGAACTACAGCACGGTCACATGACTTCACGTCACCACCGCTAAGCTAAAGGCGGCTAATGTTGGGCTATAAAGAAACTACAACACGGTCACATGACTTTACGTCACCACCGCTAAGCTAAAGGCGGCTAATGTTGGGCTATAAAGGAACTACAGCACGGTCACATGACTTCACGTTACCACCGCTAAGCTAAAGGTGGCTAATTTTGGGCGTGACACTTGTTAGCAACCTC